GCTAATATGATTCCGTAGTGTTCCTAAGTACATGTCTACAATTAAACGTTTTGTGCTGTTACAGTTTAGTAGGAATCGGAAAGTTCAACCTTGTATTTTTGGGGCTTCTGGGGGGAGTAAGATATAGTACCAGGGCACCCTATTCTGATTACCAAGGACCGTACAATAAGTTCCCTATTCGGGTATCCTCCAATGAGGTCTGTTTTTGTCATTCACTAGAAGCGGCCCTGACAAGAGAACTAAGCGTAAACTCTTAGCTGCAGCATCCAGCCAAACTACATTGGGGGGCTCAGGTTGTGTGTGTCGGTATACAGCTTTGGCGTTCTTCTGGTTGGCTCTTAGGACTTTACCTTTTTGGACATATATAAGGAGGCTAACTTTCAGGAGGGGTTCGGAAGTCAGCCGAGCAGCTGCATGCTGGCAAGGCCAGGGCGCAAGCCAAGATTTCGCAACCTTGCTGTTGATGGGCAAAGCTCTGCAGTATTCACGATGGAAGAATTTCGATACTATTTTCTAACCCTACCTATAAGCCATAGGCCCAAATTCAGGTCCAGCAACGCTCGTAGATGAGCTTAGTGTCCATGATGGTCCTCATTAGCACAGAACGACAACGGGCTCAATGGCACAGTGACGTGTACAGGCACCTACGCACGCGCACACACACACGCACACACACAAACACATGCACCTGCACGCGCCTCACCCACACGCGCACACGCGCCCACACCCACACACAGACACTAGATGAGTGTGTAACAAGTTATGTAGATATGCCAAATGGGCATATAAGTAAGCGTTTCCATTTATCTCAGCAACTTTACATAAGCACATACAGTCACATGATTACGTGCATACATACATACACACTACATATGTATGTATCCAGCTATATGTGTCTCTGTATAACTGTGCTTCTACATGCAACCGTGTATAAGGACTCGAATACAAGTATACATATATATATATATATATATATATATATATGTGTATATATATATATATATGTATATATATATATATAGACAGAGAGAGAGAGGGAGATACATGCACATCATGATCTACGGCACGTCCGTAACTCGAGTTCATTTGACAGCCATGTCGATCGTCGTGGACGTCAGCCTTGCAAGTGGCCGAGCAGTGCAAGTCGAAGCTGCACTGGCGGAGACAATCGAAACTGGGTACCGCGGTTAGGGCTTACCCCGACCCCCGGGAGGATCTAGAAAATAGATCCCCTTATTTTGGGGCCTAATTCTGCTCAGAGTACTTTACAGGAACCCCCATTAAGGGATCTACTTTTTGGGTCCTCCCGGGGGTCTGCTTAGGGAGTAGGGTTTAGGGTCTCAGGCTTCGGGTTTAGAGCTAATTCTCTGGACAGCTAAATTCAGCGCTTCAGCCTTATAAGCCCTAAGCCAGATCTTATGGGGCGTTGTGAGGGGTCTATCCTGATTTTGCTTGTTGTTTTGAAGGAGGGTCGGGGGCTACATGTAATCTCGTACAGTCAGGATGCTATTCATGAGGGGTTCAGGGTTTGGGGTTTGTGTCGAAATATTTTTCCTAAATAATCTCAATGCCCTGAAAAACATGAGGTATCCTAGACCCTAAACCCAAGCCCCTCATTATCCTTTAGACTATGTTCATCGTGTTTAGAAGGTCCTCAGCATTTTAGGGATCGGTGGTAGTAGAGGTGCTTCAAGATTTAGCAGCAACATCCTGTGTAACCAAAACCCTCACCCCAAACCCCAACCCCCAAACCCTCAAGCCCTATCCTAATTCCAACTGCTGAAGCCCCAACATTACATGTCAGAAAACCCTGTCAATAACACAAAAGGTTTTTACGCACACCATAAAACCCTTTAGAACGATTTAAATAAGTTCTTTGAAACAAAAACCCTAAGCCCTTCAAGCAAAAACTCATAAGCCCCTTCAACACAAGCAGAAGACGCTTGAAAAGACCGTAAGCCCTCGAAGCCAACGCCCATCAACCCCTCTTCACCCCCAAACCCTAAATCCTGACCCAAAGCCCATAAAATTAAAAGCATCCAACCCAAACACCCGTTTCACCACTTACAGGAAGCCTAAATCCTTAAAGGAACCCTAAACCCTTGAAGGGGCAAACAAACACCTGCGCCCCTAAACCCAAAGCTCTTTCGATAAGCACTCTGCAGTTCGAAAAAGAGCCCTTAAAAAAAAAAAAAAAAAAAAAAAAAACAAGCTTCCTGTAGACCTGAAGCCCCCAAACCCTATAAACTTTCAAACCTCTAACCGTACTCTAACCCTCAAGCTCTAAAACTCTGTAATTACACCTAAAACCCTAAACCCCCACCCCACATTGTGCAGCCACTGAGGAGTCGTTGAAAGCCCTGGCGCAGGCAGCTCTGGCATTCCCCGGAGGTCAGCTGGTGACTTCCTCTGGTCGAGCTGCCCGGCAGCGTTTTAGCGTTTTGGCTTCGTTGTCTTTCCTTCTGGGCCACAAGCCAATATCACCATCATCTTCTTCTCCTTTATCACCCTCTTCTGGGTTGTGATTTGGGATAATTTTTATTTTCCCTTATTTCCAAAAAAGGGAACCTATTCAGAAATAATTTTCAAAGGGTTTTAAGCACAACCCAGTCTTCTTCATTTTCATCTTCATCATCGTCATCAGTTGCAGCTAGAGGGCTGAAGATAGATTCCGGGGCATGTTTTGATTTTGAGATTTGCCGCAAGCCTAAGGCAGAATGCCCTGGACCCTTAACCCTGAGACCGTATCTCGATAATACTAGTTGTGATAGTAATGATAGCTAGTATACTAGTGGTACTAGTCATAATAGTTGTAATAGTAATAATGGTACCCTGCATCCATGCCTTAGCGAGCCAGGGGCGGAACTTTAAACTTTGTGGCTTTATACAAAATGGTCTAGAAAAGAAAGTTTGAACTTTTCAGGCCCGGTCATTGAAGAAGAGAGATACGTTATCACGGACCAATAATGGCTCTACTAGAGGGCATTTGGGGGGAGGGGGGGTCCTGGTAAAGCCTACCTGAACCCTGAACAACTTGCCTTTCTAAGGACTCATATATACAGGGAATCCAGAAAAGGATTCCCCAAAAACCCTAAACCCAAAACTCCGAAACCCTAAAAAAAACATAAACCCAAACTCGAAACCCTAGACTCTAAACCGTAAGCCCTAGAAGCGATGGGCAGGTTCTCGATGGAGCAGCGACGGTCCAGGAATGCGAGATCGAGAGCCTCGCTGGCCGAGTTCATGGGTAGTTGTAAAGGGTTTAGGGTTTTAGGGTTTAGGGTTTAGGGTTTTAGGGTTTAGGGTTTAGGGGTTCAGGGTTTAGGGTTTAGGGTTCCTTTCAGGGTTTCTTTACAGGGATCTGTAGGGATTCTATAAGGGTATAGGGTTTAGGGTCTACTTGGAGGTTCATGGGTAGTTATAAGCAGGGTTATAAGCCCTCTAGTAAGAGTTAGAACTCTAGATATCCTACTTCTAACGCCACTTATAACTACCCATGAACCTCCAAGTACCAGACTGCGAAACCCATGAAGTAAGTAGCAAGTTTACTAAGGAGTCTGTCTTACTTGTGATAAGGTACTCAACCCATGAATTAAGTAATGGGCTTAAATCCTAATAAGGATCCCCAGTATTGTCTGAGGATTATTGCACAATGCTTGAATTGAGGTAATACAAATGATGATAAGGGTTTAAGGGTTATTGGTTAATAGTCTCGCCAACAGGCTTCGAAAAGATGTTACTGCTCATAGGAGAAATATGACGGTTTCGCAAAAATATGATTGCAGGATCTGTGGAGATTTTCGCCTAAACCCTAAACCCTAGGTCCTTTATGCCTGAACCAACTGAGGAGCGGAGATGTGCTGACCTTGCTTTGCTTCGGACAAGTGCAGGACCGGACATGACCATACATTATATCATATTGGGGACCTTCTTTATAGCTTAATTAGGGCAAACCCCCTCGATTTAGGAATTTTGGAAGGTCTGGGTGCCCAAAGTGTCCAAAGGACCGGATAGTTAGGTACGTGGGGGCTTACCCTACCCATTTTCTACGGTACCTACGAAGAGAACAGACCCGAACCATAAAACTAGGTATCCTAAAAAAGGGGTACTACTACTACTACTACTACTACTCCTACTACTACTCCTACTACTCCTACTACTCCTACTACCCTACTAGGGCATGAGCCTCTAGGTAGTGCTGCAGGTGGTTGTTAGGTATTATTTGGACCCCCAAGGGGATCTCAGACTGTGGGGGTTCCAAGGTTTAGGTTTTTGGGGGTTTGAAGTTAAGGGTGTAGGGTTTGGGGTTTAGGGTTTAGGATTTTCGGGGAGGTGTTGCAAAATCATATCATACTGTGCCCTTCCAGGGTACGTATATCATACAGGCTTTTGTCAGCGATTTAGGGAGAGAAAAGGCTTACTTCGAGCGTTTTGGTTTGCGGCGGAGGCTTTTAAGTTCCAGGTCTAAGCCTAAGGCTATAGTCTCCTTAGGAAATACTTTTTATGTTTGTTCATTTAAGACCCAGAGAATATTCAAAATCTTAACTATAGGTAGAACCCACAGTAGGGGACTTGTAACCCCACTTATAACTACCCATGAACCTCCAAGTTGGACCGCCATATCTTCGATTAAATACTATTCTGCCGCATTCATGACGTTTCAGAAGCTGCTTGTAGTGTTGTACCCTAAATCCTGCCATGCAGTGTAAGGTGAATTCCATGACAAGGGGTTCAGGGAGCCCCAAAGAAGATGTCAGAAATGCCTGGACTCAAAGACGACACTCCCAATAGTTCCAGGCACCTAACAATCCTGCTGTTTGAGTTCTTGAAGCCTTGGGGGGAGCTAGTAGGAATCGGAAATTCTAACCTTCTATTTCTGTGGCTTATTGGGGTAGTAAGAGAATGCTGCTCTGGGAATTTGTGGACTCTTGAACCCTAAACCCTAAACCGTGGGTGTCAGGTGTCTTTTTCATTCACTGCAGCAGCCGCCATCCTCCGCGATGGCTCTGTGGCGACTTGGGGGGAGGCGACTTAGCGTCCACTTGAGGATTTACTTAGATCCCCAATGCCCAACCTTTTAACTTTTTGGGTTCTTGTCTTTTAGTGGGAATCGGAAAGTTTAACCTTTTATTTCTGTGGCTTATTCGGGTAGTAAGTTTAAGTCCTGAAGAACCTTTCCAAGATCCTCCAAGTGCCTTTTAATACAGCCCTGAATGCTTAGTACTGGGTAGTCAGACTATGATAGCAGACGGTAGTTTGGGGGGGGGGGGGGTCTAAGTCTAAGCTATACCCAAGGTTAGAGTTTGTAGTTTAGGGGGGGCGTGAAGGTCTGCGGGCACTTTTGGGGTTCAAACCCGCTAGGGTTCCAGCAAAACTTCCGGTGCGTGAGGTAAGGTTTAGGGAGGATTTGGCCTAAAGGCTACGCAAGTGTAGTTGGAGGTCGAGAGAAGCCCACTGTTAGATGCACCTCACCTAAGGAGCTGCAGTTTGTAGACGAGGTAACATAGAAGCTTGAATCTATCCCAATACTAATTAGCGCTTCGGGTGCCTCATTGCTGTTGCACCATAAGGGACCCCAAACCCCTATTCTAATTATTATGGCCCCTACAGTACGTCTTTAGATTGTGGTCGTTGGAGAAGCATGCAGTATGTGTGTAAGGTTCAAAGCTTGATCGGCTCGGAGCGTGCAAGAACTAAGGGCAGATTTGGTGGGGATAGTCGTTCGGCGCAGGATCGACTACAGAGTCTTAGATGCTGAGTTTGAGAACTTACACTCGTCAGAAGCTTTTTTTGTGTGGAATCCCAGGCCTACCTGCAAGTGCATGGTTTAGGGTTTCTCTTGGCATGAGAGCTGGACAACTGAGGAATGTGCAGCAGATCCAATCTACGGGCTCGAGCTTTGCAGCCATCCTGGGCGACGGATCTGTGGTAACCTGGGGTAACTTGCTCGGGCTAAGTTGTACAAACAGAATGATTAGCACAGGGCTTCAACTAAAGGTTGCTATAAGGGTCATATGCCGGTTCTATGATACAGGAGCCTTCAAATGTGAAGTAGGGTAGTAAGTTCTATATATGCAGCAGGACGGCAAGACTCCTGCCATTGTTTCAGATTTCGTGTTTTTCGAACAAGATCTGCTTGTGTTTTTTGATAATGCACCCCGACCTGTCCGAGTCTGCACTTGCCAAAAGTATTCTCTAATTCAGCCATAAACGTATATCTTAAGCAAGCTACATCTCTGAGAAGGGCCGAAAGCATTCGTTCTTGAAAGAGATCGCAAAACAGCTCCTTGTTGGAGTACTATGCTTCAGAACTCAGGTGATGAATATGCTGGTGGAGACAGTTCTTCTGTCCAAGAGCACTTGAAGACCCTTGGCGCAGAGAGGGCTTTGTAAAGTACTGGTAGTAACTCGGCCAGCTGAAAGGCTTACAGCCATATTCCTACATACCCGCCGCCGGCAAGATCAAAACACACGTGGGCAGCTACCTCCCTATTCAGGCATGCCTGCCTGCACACAAGCATGCACAGGCATTCCTGCATGCGGATTCATATGCAGGAGAACCTGACGGTGCACAGGTACTGCAAGTTCGCACAATTACCACAATATGCTTTCACATGCAAATGTAAACCCACATAAACGTATCCTTCGTGCATTCACTTGATATGCGGCAAAGGAGCAGCTCGTTGTAATAATAGGTCATAGACATGTATGTGTGTTCTTGCTCTTCCGCCCGAGTACATGTGTATGCATGAAGGGGTGGGTAGGTATATAGGTAGGAAGGCAGGTAGGTCGGTATGCATGTAGGTGTGTAATTACGTATGTATGTTTGCTTGTTTGTCTACGTGTAAACACAAGCAGATATCCGATAATGCTTCGATTCCAGTAGTAGTCGTCGAACAAGATTAGGGAATGTGCTTTCGATGGGTGTCTTGGAGACTGCGCAACCAGCCGAGGAGTGTGCGTCAAATTGCCGCCACCGAGCGAGCATTTGCTGCCATACTAAGTGACGGCTCCGTCGTGACGTGGGGAGATGCTGATTCAGGCGGTGACAGCGCTGCTGTTCAAGATCAGTTGAAAGATGTTCTAAAGATCAAGTCAAGTTTCAATGCCTTTGCTGCGATCTTGGGCGACGGGTCTGTGATTTCCTGGGGCTGTGGCGATGAAGGTGGCGACTGCAGCGCCTTTGCAACACCATACGCATCTCCTTGGTGTTTTGGAGAATTCTTTGCTGATGCTCTTATCTTGATTAGTAGCATGAATACAGAGAGCTCCTGCTGACGGTCATGTAGGAACCTGATTAAGAAACCCTGGCCCTTTAACACAAAAATATAAAGACCGACAAATACAAAGTCCTAATAAAGACCCACGGTTTCTTAATCAGGTTTCCATGTTAGCTACTTTGGGCCTGACAGCTGTTTCCTGCAGCCGGTACAAGTAGCCAGACAAGACCGTAAGGGCCTATGCACAGGATTATAGACCCTAAACCCTATCGGCCCTAAACCCTAGAGCCTACTTGGAGGGTCGGGGGAAGTAGGAACTAGCTGTTTTATAGACTTATACAAAAGCATAACCCCGATTAGGATCCCTTTTAGGGTACTTATTAAGTTCCCCGACCCTCCAAGTAAGCTCTAAACCCTAATGTTTCGGCCCTACAGGCTCTCCTATCAAATCAGGTATTTCATAGCCGAAGAAGAAGCTGCACGGAGTCTGTGCATGTTCCCAAACGTGTTTTCGTTATTCGAATTCTTGACAAGGCCACTTTTGAAAGGAACGGAGATTGGAACCATCGACCGTCGCCGAGAAGCCAAACTCTAAGCCCATACTTATAAACCTACCTAGACACCAATTATGAAAACTCCTCACCTGTGTAGCACCCTATTTGGAGGGTCGGTGGATTTTGCAAGTAGTTGTTTCATAGACATAGAATCATCACAACCCCAATTCGGATCACTTGTAGGGTACTTATAAGTCTACTTATTACCGACATAGAAAGGTCTCCCGACCCTCCAAGCTAGGTGAGAGCTTTGCGACGCCTTAAAGCCGAGGTGCCGTAGAAGCGCAGCTGAAGCATGTGCGGCAGGTTCAGTCCTCTGCCGCTTGGGCAGTTGAACAACCCGAGGGATCTTGGGGCCCCCAAAAGCACATATGCTAAACTTAAGATAGGGATATCCTATATAAAGCCCCTAAGCCCTAAACCCTAAACCAACATAGGGATATCCCATATAAAGCCCCTTATAATGAAGCCCAATAAGGTAGGGATATCCCTCTAAAAAGGCTTATGCTTATGTGCCTTTGGTGGTCCCTAGGATCTGCTACCAAGACATTGTCAGGGCTCCATTAGGCAAGGAGGTTATCGTCGTAGAGCTTGGGGGAGGTAAGCATATGCCGGAAGTGTCAAAGTAACTCGTACTCAGAAAAGTCCTCAACATACTAACTGTATACAATACTACTGCCCAAAACCCAGGGATTATGTGGTTTTGTGAACACTTTGCAATACTTCGGCTTTCCGGGCATTCCCATGCAGGTACCTTGCGACCAAAGTAGCTGTATACAGAGCAGCCGTGGAACCTGAGGGGAATGCAATGGGCTCCCCAAAGTTATGACGTAACATCAGTCCAAGCTCCAACGTCTGCCTTCGTTGGAAAGATCACTCTCATGCAGCTTTGTTTGGGGTACTTTTGGTTTTGATTTTTAATCCCTAAACCCTAAACCCTAAACCCTAAACCCCTAAACGGTTGGTACAAGGCCAAAACCCTGTAAACCTTAGAAAACCTCACAGACAAACCCGAGGCTGCGGCATTTGCAGCTATTCGGGCTGACTGTTCTGTGGTGACATGGGGAGAACCCGACAGTGGCGGCGACAGTGCCTCGCCCTTTAGAGTGTACTTAAAGGATCATGGGACTTAGTAACTAGGGTTATAATTAGGGTAACTATACTTATAATTACTTATAACCCCAATTAGGGTACTTATAACCCTACTTACTAAGTCCCATGCTCCTCCAAGTAGCCTTTATGGCTTCGTAGTAGAGGAGATGTGCTCCAACGCTGTGAGGTAATTAATACTTGGAGGGTCGGGGACCTAGTAAGCAGTTAGGAAGTAGAGTTATAAGTACCCTAAGAGGGATCCTAATCGGGGTTATGGTACTGATAAGTCTCCAAAATAACTACTTACTAAGTCCCCCGACCCTCCAAGTTGAACCCTTGCACAGCACCAAGTTGCAACCTATGCTTCCGACCCGTCGACCGAACGGGTGGAATGGTTAAGTTTAGCCTGGCGGTTCGTAGGAGGGCTGAGATACTGCAACAACTTATAGGGTGGGGTGGGGGGGGGGGGGGTGTGCATTGTGTTCGGAGCACAGCGCCTACAGTCGCACTCCCCAAACACTGACTTGGCCCCACAGCCACCCTGGGCCCTGACGAGGTTCTTTTAAGTTGGGTTTAGGGTTTAGGGGTTTTCATGTTTGAGTAGGCTATGCTGCATGGATGGGTTCCCCTAAGCACAGGTACGTCCAGGGGTTTGGGGTTTAGGGTTTGGGGTTTCACTTAAACTCACATGTTCCCTATCCTTGCCCCAAGACGCAGAACACGACAAGTCCAAAAGCCTCAATAGGGATCTGCTTGAGGCGGGCCCGTGGAACAACCTTATAAATAATTATCGTATAAAGGGCCCCCAAAACCCTATCCCAATTATTAAGGCCCCCTGTATCCCCAAATCCCTTGTAGAGTCCTTAAAGGATCCCTTGACAGCAAATTCTAAGGCGGGTCCGTGGAGCATCTACTTGTGGACGTGAAGGCAATCAAGTCCTCGCGGGAGTCGTTCGCTGCCATCTTAGGCCGGCGTGCGAACCTCCACTATGCCTTAATGAAGGAATATACCTTACATCATATTATTTGGGATCCTACTATGATTGAATGTATATCCTTTTATTGAGGAATATACCTTAATCCATATTAGGGACCCTACTATGATTTAAGGTATAAACTCCCAAACGTGTCTGGACCCCAGTGCATGTTTCCGGGGGGTCTGGAGTCTAGGGTTTAGCCAGGGTTTAGGGTTTAGCTATGGGTATTCAGGATGTCAGGTTGTTTCGATTGTGAGTTGCTTTGGTGGTTGCTACTGTTCTTGTCTTTGTCTTTGTTTTTGGTTGCTGGTGGTGTTGGTGATGTTGTTGCTGCTGTCTCTGTTGCTGCTGGTGTTGCGACCAGTCCTGCCAACAGGGGTACTGGCACCGAAGAACGAAGTCGCAGGTTGCGCAAGAACGTCCACAGAACCGTTCGCACAACAAGACTCGTTCTTTAACAAGACTCGTATGGCGGTTTCCGAAAATAGGGGTACCTGATTTTGGTGTCCTTATAACAAGGATTCTTTATTTAGGATGCTACATTAGAGTCCCCTATTTTCGGAAACTCCCGCCCCCTGACCACTATGGAGAGGAGAGGGGGAGGGGGGGTGTTGTAGGGTTCGAAATGGGTCCCGGTTAAGGGGTATTATAGAATCCATAACAGCGTACCATTTAAGGGTCACTGTGCTCCCAGAGACTCCTTAAATTATAGTAGGACCCCTAATATGACTTAAGGAATATTTCTTAATTAAGGAGTTTTGGAAGCTCTGTGCTGGGGCGCAGGCGATGGCTCTGTGGTGACATGGGGCAACCCTGGATCGGGGGGTGACAGTGACTCTGACGCAATCGGCTGGGTACAGTAAGGGTATGAAGCAACTACAGCGTCTAAAGCACCGTTTGGCATTTCAATAGAACACCCATCAATATTAGTGCTTATGACCGTATGATGCGTGCATATGTATTCATTTATGTAAAATTTGTTTCTAACATTGGAATGATGTAGGACATGAGTATCAAACTTGCCGGGAATGTTGGGTGCATGTGTCCTTGTCTTGTGCTGAGGGCGTCGAGAACGAAGTTGCTAGGAAGCTGAGTTTCCTTAGCTGCTGCGTAAGAGTTTCAGAAGGACCCACATGTTTCCCTCCAGGAATGGCATGCTTCATATAAGGACCTCAGGAATGCATTCAGAAAGTAGCCCCTAAAGGTTCGGTTAAGCAGGTACGTATGGCGCTTGAAGCTTTAGGAGGCTGAATCTCGCTGGTCACCCTTATGAAATTGCGATAGCAAGGTGGTGCCAAAGTATGGCATTAGCGTTATGTAAACCGACACACCCATAGTCTTTGTTATGACTCAAAAAAACATGTTTTGGGTATGCCACGAAAAAATACAGCAAACCCCAAACAGCTATTTAAAAAGCACACATTGAACCCCAAAGAAGAACTCCAAAAGCAATTAATGCCCTAAGCCCTAAACCCTAAAGTAACCCCTACTTGGAGGGTCGGGGGACTTAGTAACTTGTTATTTTAGGGACTTATAAGTACCATAACCCCATTTAGGGTCCCTTTTAGGGGACTCACAAGTCTACTTATTACCTACTTACTAAGTCCCCCGACCCTCCAAGTAACCCTAACCTCCCAAAAAGCAAGAACTAAGGGCACAGGCTCTGAAGCCCTGAAACCCAAAGCCCTAAGTCCTAAGGCGCGCGACTCCAACTCCGCAGCAACTGAGGGGCTGAGGATGTAACCTTTAAAGTAAAAGCCAGAAAGTTGGAATATGATTATCCTAAACCCTTTATGGTAATTTATAGGGTATCCTACCCTGAAACCATATTCCAACTTTCTGGAGTTCCCTTAAGCCCTTGGGGCTTATGAAATCCTCTTGCAATGCAAAAAGTTATATAGCTTTTTTTGGGCTAAAGTACGACGACCGTAAGAAAACGATTTTAAACACGTTTAACCTGTGCAAAAAACTCACATGCCCACTGCCATCTTCGTTTCGTTCAGGCTCGTAAAAGTTGACAAGAACCCCATAAAGAGCATAAGCAAAAGCTCCAAAATTCTCAAAGCCGCAAACCCTTACTCCCCATGCCCTAAACCCAAAACCTCCAAGCACCAGAGCCCTAAACCCTAAACCTTCATCTGTAGATCTCAGACAGCGGGGATAGACGCAAAATATGTGCTCAACAAAAAAGCACGCCCTAAACCAAAACCCTATAACCCTAAACCCTGAACTTAAACCCTAAGCACCCTGTGGTTCTTGAGGCAGCTCTGCGCAAGAGCATTTGAAGTCTGTTTCAGAGATCCAGAGCTCACAACATGCGGCTTGCTTTCTTACAGTTTAGGGTTTGGGGTTTAGGCTGTCTTTCACTTTTTACCCTTGGATTCTTAGTAGCTGAGTAGGTAGGGTTTAGGGTTAGGGTTTAGGGTTTAGGGTAGCTGAGTAGGACCTAAAGTAGGCCCGTATTCCATTGTTTTAGGGTTCAGGTTCCCATATAAGACCTGTTCAAATCAAAAAGGGCACCCTTAGGTAAGAATTTCAACAGGGGTCATTGGGGCCCAGTTAACTACAAGTATATGAATAAGGAACCCCCAGAACTTTATTAGTATGAATAAGAAACCCCCAAACTTTATTAGTATGTATTTCAGCCCCTATAGTAGGTAGTTCTCTAAGTTCGGGTCTCTTTAAGGAACGTGTTTAAGGCTACCGTACACTATTTGGGATCTAACAAGGGGCCCTAATATGGAGAACTACCCACATGTCAGGCGCTGAAGAATCTGTGACTCAGACAGTCGCCGAGAGCACCGCTCGAAGGAATGATCTTACTGACTACTAACTTTGCTAGGTTCCCCAACCCTAAACCGTTAACCCTACCTACCCAGCTACTAGACCCAAAGAGTAACCTAGGAATAGAAAATCATAAGGGAACCCTAAAAAGGTAGGTTATTTGGTGTCCAGGTATAAGGCCTCTAAAGTACGATTGATGATAAAAACCCTGCATTCCCCGCAATGAGGAATATACAATACTTCCCATAGTTTAGGGTCCTTAAGGTAAAGCAGGATTTATACCATCAACAGTATGTACGGTTGAAATTTAGGACCTTAAAGTTCGGGCTTTTGGGAACTTAGGATTTGGGCCTTGGGGTTTAGGATTTAGGGTCTTCGGCGGTAGGCTTGAACCTTTTTATGTTCTTGTAGGGCATGGATGTATGCACGTATAGATGTATGAAAGTATGTACGTATAGATGTAAGTGTGCATGCATGTATGTTGCCTTTTCTGTTGCTCATAGAGTAGTTCAATCGTGCTTTCGATGTGTTATTGTCTTTATTGGACCTCTGAAATGGATTCTTGAAGCTGTTATACCCGGGTTCTAGAAAGCGGTTTAGCTTTCGGTTATTATGTACCTAAGACCTAGAGTAGGCCATTATTTGCTGTTTTTAGGGTTCAGGTTCGCTTATGAGTCCCTTTAAACCAAAAAGGGGCACCCTTTCTATTCCTAGGTTACTCTTAGGTCTAGGTATTTTCCTAGCTGTTTACAACTACAAGGGCACCCTTTCTATTCCTAGCTTACTCTTGGGTCTAGGTATTTTTTCTAGCTGTTTATTCCTAGCCATTTAGAACCCCAGTTACTAAGGCCAATCCAACCGTTTCATGAGAACCCCAAAGTCTATTCTAATGACTAAGGCCCCCTACATTACATGAGGCGTACGCAGCGCTTCTGGCGGATGGCTCTGTCTCCACCTGGGGCTCTTCCGGCTGCCTACCTGCTTGTGCCGAGCGTGGTGTAACAGTTTGAGGCTAAGGGGGCATGGTTTATGGGGCCTAATTCAAGCCGGCTTAGGGTTTAGGGCTTAGGGGAGTGCGGGAGGGGACTAGAGGAGGATAGATGGTCAGACACAGCTCTGCAATTTTTGGGCGGTAAACCTCGGAATCCTTCGACATATAAGCCAAAACAGGAGCAAGTAAGGCTTTGGTGGTGACAGCAGTTATGTGCAAGAGCAGCTGCAGAATGTGATGCAGATTCAAGCCTCGCAAAGTGCCTTTGCCGCACTGTTGGCCGATGGTTCCGTCGTGAGCTGGGGCGCGGCGGACTCTGGTGGTGACTGTCGTGCAGTCCAAGACCAGCTGAAGGACGTGCAGCAGATTCAAGCCTCTGATCAAGCATTTGCTGCCGTCCTTGCCGATAGATCCGTTGTTGTTTGGGGCGACGCTGGGTTCCGAAGCAATCAGTGTTCTTCGTTGTTTTCTGTCAGTTTCCTGGCAGTGACAACTAGCAACCTCTAACCCAGGACGACGACCTTTGCTACGATTATCGAGATGTCTGCGATCAGCTACGGGATGTCGTAAGCATTCAGGCGTCGCAGGCCTGGAGTGTTGGGTTTCGGGGTTAGGGGTTTGGGCAGGATTTCGATTCCTATCTCGGGGCTGGAATGATTCCATAGCCCATTCCTTCGCAGCCCTGCGGCTTAACCAACCCCGAGGTCGACCTTGTAATATTGAATAATGTTAGCGTTCCTTCGTAGCTCTCCATCATTGCACGATATATTTCGAAAAATTCGTTCTAGCTGTTACGGCCTCCGTATGTTACCGCATCAAACCGTTATAACCAGCCGAAATTACACTGAACGGACTAAGATCTAGGGTTTTTAGACATTTCGGATTTTTGAGTTTCGCGCTTGAGACCTACATTAGGGAGGGGAGGGGGGCTTAGCAAGTGGTGACTTGCTTTATGGACCTATCAGTATCACATGTAACCCCAACTAGGATCCCTTGAAGGTTACGTACGGTTGATGGTGTAAATCCTGCATTACCCATAATAAGAAGGAACATACGAATATTCCCATAGTTTAGGGTCCTTCAGGTAATGCAGGATTTATATCATCGACAGTGTCAGTCTACTTATTACCTACTTACTGAGTCTCCTGAGCCTTGCATCAGTGTCTTATGTCTTGTGTTGTTTTGAAGCCGCTTGAAGTGCCAAGACTTCGGGCTCACGAAGTCTAGGGTCTACAGGGTTTAGGAATTTAAGAATATTATATAAGGGTTTAGGGTTTAGGGTTATAGGGTTTAGGAAAATTAAGGGTCTAGAGTGTTTAGGAATTTAAGAATATTATATAAGGGTTTAGGGTTCAGGGTAATAGGGTTTAGGAATCTTAAGGGTGTTGGAGTTCCGTCGAGACAGTAAAGATGCCATTTTCGAAGGTCATGGGGTTGGATTTCGCTGCACCCCCAAAACCGCTTAGACCCTCAGAGCTTACACCCCAAAGAGATCCTTTTGACTTGTCTGCCGTGGGCTCTCCGGGAAGGACGCTTTTGCAGCCATCCGGGCTGATGGCTCTGTGGTAACCTGGGGGAATTATCGCAGTGGCGGCGGCTTCGACGGTTAAGTTGAATGTTCAGGGTTTTGAGGTTTATAGGGTTTGGGGTCGACGGTTAAGGGTTTTAGGGCTTGGGGTCGACGGCTAAGGGTTTTAGGGTTTAGGGTCGACGGTAAGTTGTTCATTGTTCTTTTGAAGCAAGTTGCTCAAAAGAGGTAGTATGGCTAATGCGTCGTCCCAAGGTATCTTAACCAACGAGTCCTACTGCTGTGTTTTTTTTGAGGGGGCGGTGTCTTCACTAACTCCCATACTTGGAGGGCTGGGCCTTGGTACTATAGAAGCCTAAATAATTACCAATATTATTCCTTAGGTTCCTTGTTATAGCTATGCTATAAAGGAGCCCAAAGCCATACTCTAGTTATTAAGGCCCGATATACATTATGTTCTGAAGGCTTATAAGTTCATAACCCCCGATTAGAGTCCTTTTTAAAGTCTACTTGTCGCCTACCTACAAGTCCCACGACTCTCCAAGGATAGACGTCTAGCTGCATGAACGGATGGCTTGTGATGCACGGCTGGAGTTTGCTGTGATTCTCAGGTGACAGCAGCACGGTGCAAGATCAGCTGCGGCCTCGCAGGCCATGAAGCTTGAAGGACAAGGACTAGGACCTAGAGTAGGCCCTCACTCCCTCTTTTAGGGTTCAGGTTCCCTTGTAACACCCTTTAAACCAAAAAGGGCACTTTTTTTTTCCGATTTTACTCTTGGGTCTAGAGGAAGGCAAGAGCGCTGAGAAAGAGGGTGAAGGAAGAGGAGCGAGTTTTCAATTCTCTGGCTATCTGCCTGTGAGGTCATGCACTACCTTTTGAGGAGTACGTAGTTTTATGGTTAGGATCTGTTATATAGAAAAGGTCACCACCACTCAGACACCTGGGATTTGGGCATGACCCCATAGTTAAGCTCAAAGATTAGGATCTTCGGGATGTGAAGTCCTGGAAAGAGGATGAGGCCGGATCTCCAAGGAGGTTGCTGGGTTTTAGGATTTAGGGTTTAGGGTGTACTTGAAGGGTCGGGGCACAGGAAGTAAGCAGACCTCTAAGTTCCATGAAAGGGAGCCTGGTTGGTGCTATGATACTCTTGTGGACTTAGCGATTGTTCAAAGATTTGGGGACTTAGTAGATCAGGCTGTATGTTAATTGAGGTTTAGGGTTTAGGGTCCCTTAATCAGGATTTTAAGGCAATTGAAAGATACATATAATATAGGTTCCTGGCCCAGTGGCATATGACCCTGCTTGCCACTATAGTTCAGTGGGAATCGGAAAGTTTAACCTTGTATGTCCTTGGTGTTCTTCTGGTTGGCTCTTAGGACTTTAACTTCTTGGGTTTCTATATGAACCATAACAAAATTAACTTGTTAAGATTTCTGTGGTTTACTTGGGGTGTAAGTCTTTGCGGGGCCATGCTATATAAGGCTCCGGGTCGATGGGGAGCCCGGCGCCAGAGTTTGGGATGTACAGTACTTGGAGGATCATGGGACTTAGTAAGTATGGTTATAAGTCCCCTAATTGGGGTTATAAGTAATTATAAGTATAGTTACCCTAATTATAACCCTAGTTACTAAGTCCCATGATCCTTTAAGTATAGCTTGTCACCCAGACCTTCCAGAATCCGGCAACTCAGATTGAAACCTGAAGTCACTCTTTTTGGGGTCCCACGAACTCAATTGGGTTCTCTTTTTGATGTTTTCGCTCAATGGCTTAAGCTCTGACCACTTTATGATATGATTAAGCTGATCGTGTGGGGTCCCACTCTAATTTAAGGCATATTCTTTAGTTGAGGCACCAGGCCCCCCCCCAAAAACAACACCTGAAGCTTAGTCCGTGCTGCCGGGCAACAAAAGCAGTATGAGTCGAGAGGCTGAAAGTGCCGGTGGGGCCGAGGGTTTAAAAGTTTGGGGCTTGGGGCTTGAGGCTCGTGAGACGAGGAAAGTTGTGGGGAAAAGGGTCTGCGCACAGGAGCCTTTTGCAGGTCGCCCCTTCGTCACTGCAAGTGAAAGCGGATGACCTCTGCGGCGGCATCCCATTTCTCGGCATCGTGAAACATGTGGCGCCATTGCGCCTCATGGACATGCCATGGAAGCCACAGCCCGACAGGGCCCATGGATTGGAGACCCTGAAAGAAAATATTTAGGGACCTCATGCTGAAAGCCGTGCTTGGCAGCCATGATGGTGGTTGTCATCGTCGGCATCATCGTCGTTAGCATCATCGTTGCCATCATCGTTATCATCATCATCATCATCATCGCTACCATCATCGCTAGAATCATCGCTATCACCATCATCTTTGCTATCATCATCGTTGCCATCATCGTCATCATCGCTACCATCATCATCATCATCATCAATAATATCACCATCATCATCATCATCATCATCATCATCATCATTGCTATCATCATCATCACCATCATCACCGCTATCATCATCGTTGCCATCATCGCTATCATTATCGCTGCCATCATCGCCATCTTCATCATCATCATCATCATCATCATCGTCATCAGTCATCATCATCGTCACCATCATGATCATCGTCATCATCATAATCATGAGGGCTCATGGTTCGATGCGGTGGTTTCTTTTGGTGGCTGGGACCTTAGTTAAGGGATATCGGGAGGTCTGGGCAGATGATGCCCCCAAATCCTCAACCCTAAATCCTAAACCCTAAACCCTAAATCCTAAATCCTAAACCCTAAACCCCAAATCCTAAATCCTAAACCCTTTGTTGACAGGCAGGCGGCCCCATAGTCTCCTTAGATCCCCAATGCCCAGCCTTTTAACTTTTTGGGTTCTTGTCTTTTAGTAGGGTTTAGGGGTTTAGAGGTTTAGGGGTTTAGGGGTTTAAGGGTTTAGGGGTTTAGGGGTTTAGGGGTTTAGAGGTTTAGAGGTTTAGGGGTTTAGAGGTTTAGGGGTTTAGGGGTTTATGAAGCGGTCATCGGACGATCCAGGCGAGACTGACGCAGGGATCCTTGCTCCAGATACAACACAGGGACGAACTAATTATGAATTACAAGCCAGTCTACGTCGAGCGTAATACCGAGCCCATGTGACTTTGGGACAAGCAAACATTAACGGGCACTCCACAGGCTCCCGGGGAGGCTCAAAGGAGATGGCCACCGCCCGGCTGTACCGTCTGTGTACCCAAAAGATTTCAGAGAGTTTACTCACGTCCGCGCGGACTGTACATGGCGCGATAAGTATCGACGGGACCTCCTCATTGATGCCCCACTGTGACAGCGTTTTGGCACGCGGCATCGGAAAATCAATCCCAGCTTCTTTAAACATGAAGCGCACTACGTTTCTAAACAAGTTTAACTGTTTTGAAAGGAGAGGTCGACACAACTTGAGTTGCGGGTACTCCGTTTCGTGCACAAAACACGCAGGGACATCTGCGACAAGCCCTATGGGCAACTGGGAAGGCTGCCAGGCGGCAACGTTTACCGGAGACAACCACCCGGTGGCGTTTGCAAAATGCAAGTACAGTTCTAGAAGACTAACCCCAGACTCAGTTTTGCACCAAGACTGTCCTAGGCAGTATTGGCGAAAAACCTGGCAAAACCTGGGCCCGAGCAAAGCACTCAGAACCTCAACCCTATCTAAACCTTGAACCGAAACAGGGGAGCCAAGCAAAAGTGGCACACTGCGTGGAGCAACCCGAGGGGCATTTACACCAGTGTCGTCTGCAGTACGTGTTCTGCTTTGGCGTGAACTAGCACAGCAAAGCGTGTGCTGTTGCAATTGAAACACAAGTGTGGCTTGATGGACTTGCGCCTGCAAATCTTGGCGCGCATGCCTGAACAGGGAAAGAGTGACCTCATCCTGCACATGTGCGCTCTTAGCCGTCCGATCAGCAGCATCATTATGGAAAGCAGTCCACTTGTCATGCGCAGTGGTGCACAGATTAGGGTTACGGTGGGATTCAACGTGGTGAATACGAAAACGGCCGCTTTTGGATTGGAGAACTTCCGCAATTTCAAACCACAATTCCGGCTCAGCAGCCTTTATCCACCACGAATGAACCCATCCTCTCCGAAGCAAACGCTTAAACCCCAAGACTACCCCAAGATTATCACTGTAGATATCTGCTGCCTCAGCCTGACGCACAGCAACGAAGACTGCAAAAAGTTCTGCACGGAAGTTTGACTGCACCCCTGGTAAACACCCCTTTGCAGCTACCGCGTTTTCGAAGGAATCTGGTTCAGCCAAGATGACTGACCATGCACTCTGCGAAACATGATCGTTACAGTAGGTGGAACCGTCAGTGAAAAGGCAGACATGCCCGTCAAAACATTCTCTCAGATCAGGCAGTGCCATTGAGTTTAGGTTGTTTTCGAGTTCAAGTACGGCCTGCGGCGTAGGCCACAAACCCCGAGTTAGGATGGGGAGGGGAAGACTATCCAAAAAACCCTGGGGCAAACCTTCCCGTAGGTGGCAATAGAAAGGGCAGTGCCGAAGCCTATGCAGCTGGCTATCCACCTCACCGCAATGAGTGCATAGAGCTTCAGCATCTCCTAAAAAATGTTTCTTTTGATCTGTGAAGACAGCCGCACCGGCTGTAAAACATCCAACTTGGGCCCAACTGCATTTGGCAGCAGATCTTAGAAACATGGTTTGCCCTATTTCAGTGCCTTGGAGGTCATCTAGACCCTCTTGCAGAGGCAACTTTGGAAGCACAACTCTCCACCAAGAACCCAAAAACAAACTAAACCCTCGACGGCGACCCAAAAAAGGCAAGTGGACTACAAGACCTTCATCAGTTCGACAATAACCATCCTGTAAGGGCTCCCAACGCATAGGAGACGCAAATGCTGGAAAAGGTACGTAAAGGGTTTAAGGGTTTAGGGGTTTTAGTAGGAATCGGCAAGTTTAACCTTCTATTTTTGTGGCTTAGTGGGCTAGTAAGTCTCCAATGTGTGTGTGTGTGTGCGTGCGTGTCTGTGTGTATAGCATTCTTTCATGCTTTCAGGGCCATGTGTCCAGGTTGGGCGTGGCCGATGTGTGTGTGTGTATACGTATATACGTATGTTTGTATGTGTATGAATACAGATAACAAACATATAGACAGTATACATACATGTGTCTATAACTCTTCGGTGATATGTGTCCATTATACATATGTATAATGACATGTATTTATATGTATGTGTGCACATATGTATACATATATGTATATATGTGTATATAGATATAAAACCTTCATTCGAATTCTACTATGACCGCTTAGATTCGCGGTATTCCCCTGAGAGGATGACGACCATCTGCAGCTGGCGCTCCTGAGTTTGCCGCGAGTCGAACCAGGGCCTCTGGAAAAAGTGAAGCTCTGCGCCCCGAGTTGTGGGATTGTTTTAGGGTTTAGGGTTTTGGGTTTTGGGGTTTAGGGTTTAGGGTTTAGGGTCATGGGGCTTAGTAAGAGAGTGATAATGGGGATTATAAGTCCCCTAGGTGGGGTTATCCTAATTATAGCCTACTTATAACCTGACTTACTAAGTCCCATGATCCTCTAAGTAGGGTTCAGCATTTTAGGTCGGGTTGTAGGTTTTCACAGTGAGGGCACACCTGGGCCGAGGTCAAGTACTTTCACCCTCGCC